TGTAAGCGCTTTTACAATTCAAGTCCTTTGCACTTTAAGCGGGTTCTTGATGTATAAACTTTGTTTTTCATATATCACTGTTTTTTACCTATTGAGTTTTTTTAGATTACATTATTTTCTATTTGTCTGTTATCATTTTTCACATGTTATGAACCTAACTTCGCCAGTGGCATGCAGTATGCAAATGAACATTAATTTATTAGTATATAGAAACAAATAATAAAAAAAAAGAACAAGATTCGCTTGTGTGTTCCCTTGCTACCAATTAAGGTATGATGTATGATAGTAACTATGCAATACAGTTTTGACCATTTCAATATTGATGCTGTAGGCAATATACTTTCTTATCTACAACATGATGAAAGTCAGCTGATTCAGGATTTATTTTTCATCATTTTATACCTCTTTGGTTTTTTTAATACATTTCAACCATTACGTTCTTGGCAACTAAACTATTAGATATGATTTCGTTTCGTTTCTTTAACTTTTCATTTACTGAATTATCGTTATAACTGTTTAGTCTATAGGAATATCTGTATGTTGTTAATGGTGATTGATGCATCACAATACAAACAAAACGAAATATCCCTATTGTAAAATATATCCATTATTTCTTTCGAATTTTCTTTGTATGCTATGCACACTGAAATTACCGTCATGATCTCGTTATTTTGATGGGAAACGCCATGTCAGTTACCACATGTGATGGATAAAAACGTATCTGGGACACCTGGGTTGGTGCTGCTTTTATTTGCTTTAGTGTATTCTCTGGTCAGATTATTGCCTTTTCGTAAAAACTTTTGGTTTTAATTCTGTCCTTGTATTTACTCTTTAGCGTATTAAATGTTTAGCCATTCATTAAAATTAGAAGTCATTAAAGTTAGAGGTCATTAAAGTTAGAAGTCATTAAAGTTAGAAGTCATTAAAGTTAGAAGTCATTTTATTTCTCATGTCTTTCTACTACTACTCAGCTTAACGTGTTCATTTGACCATGATAAGTAGTTAGGGTTGTATAGTAACAGTGTTAACGGTTAACTTTAAACGCACTGATTCACCAATACATAGGATGTCAATGTGGCACGAAAACCGTTATAAGAATAGTCGGATCGTGATATTTGCCCATGTACGGTTCTCGTACTATTTCCTATTTGTATAATGTTTCTTACACTTTCTATTATGCCACTGAGCTTTAGTTCTCTAGACTTGACATTTCGACGGAGCTACACGTGATGCGGACACTATTCACCTTTCAGGACAACTGGATGGTTAAGCTACCCGATTTGTTGCTTTTTGTTTTGGTGTCTGCCAGTTTCCCGTTCAAGTCAGTTCAACTAAGAGCTCCAGCTGGTGTCTTGAATGTTGAATAAAACATACTGAGTTTGATATGCGATTTTAAATACTTTAATTTCGAAATAGATAATTCCAAATATTATTTTTGTCACATAAACTACTAGACACACCAAGGATACTATCCACCAGGATGAATTTTGTTGAATTCTGTGCAAGAACAATAAAATATTAATCAGTATTCGAGGAGAGAATTAATTCAACCAAACCTTTGGACGAATAACCTAGCACAACATCTCAACGAATAACCTAGCCTTTAGCCCAGCATCTCCACGTATAACATAGCCCAACATATCCACGAATAACCTAGCCCAGCATCTCCACGAATGACCTAGCCCAACATCTCCACGTATAACATAGCCCAACATAGCCACGAATAACCTAGCCCAGCCTCTCCACGAATAACCTAGCCCAGCGTCTCCACGAATAACCTAGCACAGCATCGCCACGAATAACCTAGCCCAGTATCTCCACGCATAACATCGCCCCACTTCTCCACGAATAACCTAGCCCAAAATATCCACGAATAACCTAGCCCAACATCTCCACGTATAACCTAGCCCAGCATCTCCACGCATAACATAGCCCCGCTTCTCCACGAATAACCTAGCCCAACATCTCCACGTATAACCTAGCCCAGCATGTCCACGAATAACCTAGCCCAACATCTCCACGTATAACCTAGCCCAACATATCCACGAATGACCTAGCCCAACATTTCCACGTATAACCTAGCCCAACATATCCACGATTAACCTAGCACAGCATCTCCACGAATACCCTAGCCTAACATCTCCACGAATACCCTAGCACAGCATCTCCACGAATACCCTAGCCCAACCTATCCACGAATGACCTAGCCCAACATCTCCACGAATAAACTAGCACAGCATCTCCACGAATACCCTAGCCCAGTATCTCCACGAATAACCTAGCCCAAAATATCCACGAATAACCTAGCCCAAGATATCCACGAATAACCTAGCACAGCATCGCCACGAATAACCTAGCCCAGTATCTCCACGCATAACATCGCCCCACTTCTCCACGAATAACCTAGCCCAAAATATCCACGAATAACCTAGCCCAACATATCCACGATTAACCTAGCCCAGCATCTCCACGCATAACATAGCCCCACTTCTCCGCGAATAACCTAGCCCAGCATCTCCAGGAATAACCTAGCCCAACATATCCATGAATAACCTAGCCTAGCATCTCCACGAATAACCTAGCCCAACATCTCCACGAATATCCTAGCCCAGTATCTCCACGAATAACCTAGCCCAGGATCTCCACGCATAACATAGCCCCGCTTCTCCACGAATAACCTAGCCCAACATCTCCACGAATAACCTAGCACAGCATCGCCACGAATAACCTAGCCCAGTATATCCACGAATAACCTAGCCCAGCATATCCACGAATAACCTAGCCCACATCTCCACGAATAACCTAGCCCACCATCTCCACGAATAACCTAGCCCAACGAATACACGAATAACCTAGCCCAACATATACACGAATACCCTAGCCCAACATATCCATGAATAACCTAGCCTAGCATCTCCACGAATAACCTAGCCCAACATCTCCACGAATATCCTAGCCCAGTATCTCCACGAATAACCTAGCCCAACCTCTCCACGAATGACCTAGCCCAACATCTCCACGAATATCCTAGCCCAGTATCTCCACGAATAACCTAGCCCAACCTATCCACGAATGACCTAGCCCAAAATCTCCACGTATAACCTAGCCCAGCATGTCCACGAATAACCTAGCCCAACATCTCCACGTATAACCTAGCCCAGCATGTCCACGAATAACCTAGCCCAACATATCCACGATTATCCTATCACAGCATCTCCACGAATAACCTAGCCGAACATATCCACGAATAACCTAACCTAGCCCAGTATCTCCAAGCATAAAATAGCCCCACTCCTCCACGAATAACCTAGCCCAGCGTCTCCACGAATAACCTAGCCCAGCATCTCCACGAATGACCTAGCCTAACATCTCCACGAATAACCTAGCTCAACATATCCACGAATAACCTAGCCCAGCATCTCCACGAATGACCTAGCCCAACATCTCCACGAATTACCTAGCCCAGCATCTCCACGAATAACCTAGCACAGCATCTCCACGAATAACCTAGCCCAGCATCTCCACGAATAACCTAGCCCAGCATCTCCACGAATAACCTAGCCCAGCATCTCCACGAATAACCTAGCCCAGCATCTCCACGAATAACCTAGCCCAGCATCTCCACGAATAACCTAGCCCAGCATCTCCACGAATAACCTAGCCCAGCATCTCCACGAATAACCTAGCCCAGCATCTCCACGAATAACCTAGCCCAGCATCTCCACGAATAACCTAGCCCAGCATCTCCACGAATAACCTAGCCCAGCATCTCCACGAATAACCTAGCCCAACATATCCACGAATAACCTAGCCCAGCATCTCCACGAATAACCTAGCCCAGCATCTCCACGAATAACCTAGCCCAGCATCTCCACGAATAACCTAGCCCAACATCTCCACGAATAACCTAGCCCAGCATCTCCACGAATAACCTAGCCCAACATCTCCACGAATAACCTAGCCCAGCATCTCCACGAATAACCTAGCCCAGCATCTCCACGAATAACCTAGCCCAACATATCCACGAATAACCTAGCCCAGTATCTCCACGAATGACCTAGCCCAGCATCTCCACGAATAACCTAGCCCAGCATCTCCACGAATAACCTAGCCCAACATATCCACGAATAACCTAGCCCAACATCTCCACGAATAACCTAGCCCAGCATATCCACGAATAACCTAGCACAGCATCTCCACGAATAACCTAGCCCAAAATATCCACGAATTACCTAGCCCAACATATCCACGAATAACCTAGCCCAACATATCCACGAATAACCTAACCTAGCCCAGTATCTCCACGCATAACATAACCCCACTTCTCCACGAATAACCTAGCCCAGCATATCCACGAATGACCTAGCCCAACAACTCCACGAATAACCTAGCTCAAGATATCCACGAATAACATAGCCCAGCATCTCCACGAATGACCTAGCCCAGCATCTCCACGAATAACCTAGCCCAGCGTCTCCACGAATAACCTAGCCCAGCATCTCAACGAATAACCTAGCACAGCATCTCCACGAATAACCTAGCACAGCATATCCACGAATAACCTAGCCCAACATATCCACGAATAACCTAGCCCAACATATCCACGAATAACCTAGCACAGCATCTCCACGAATAACCTAGCCCAGTATATCCACGAATAACCTAGCCCAGCATCTCCACGTATAACCTAGCCCAACATATCCACGAATAACCTAGCCCAACATCTCCACGAATAACCTAGCCCAACATATCCACGATTAACCTAGCACTGCATCTCCACGAATAACCTAGCCAAACATCTCCACGAATAACCTAAATCAGCATATCCACGAATAACCTAGCCCAACATATCCACGAATAACCTAGCCCAGCATCTCCACGAATGACCTAGCCCAACATCTCCACGAATAACCTAGCTTTCAACAAAATATTATGAATCTAGGCCCGTCAGTTCTTCAGAAGAAGTTGTTTAAAGGAAAAGTTGAAGGACGAGGACGGACGCAGACGGACGCCGCACCATGACATAAGCTCATTTGCCCTTCGGGCAGGTGAGTTAAAAATGAACTGGATATGCAAATCTAACCGATGGCTTTAGATATTAGAGGTTACATGTTGCCTTAGCCATATTAAAATAGCAATGCAATAAATTCCGAATCACACTTTTTGCTGTTTTCACACATAATGCATTTAAGAAAATACGAAAGGAACATTTGTAAAATAAAAATCAGTATCGATTTTTGATGGAGTAGAATATAGAGAAATAGCGTTTTCTATAATAGGGCCAACTAGAAGCTCTTATTCGTTTTATTTGACTTTTTTTACATCATAAGTTGTATTTATACTTGAAACAGGTTTTACGTCGGTTTTATTTTTGCAAGTTTTAAAGTAAAGCGAACCTGCGATTTCAAAATCACAAATTTGATACTGCTTTTTTTCAACCTCAACACGATACTTAATTTTGCAAGATAAAAAAGTTTATCATTACACTATAAACAACCGCACTTTACTGTACGTAAACCATGTATATTTAAGTGATATAGCTGACTGACGAATATAATGTCACACAAATAAAATAAAATAATTTCTATGTAGACAGAATTTTCATGTATTACGTGAACAAATTAACGATGGAGTAAATACTGCAGTAGAACAGTAACATGTTTACAGTAAAAGACATGGAAGAACAATTCGAATAACATCAATATAAATGTTAACACGTAAAACGTGACGATTGTAAGTTTAACCCATGCATTTGACTCGACGATTTTGCATATTTAATATATAACCAATGTCAAACCTATGACTGAACAGGAACAATCTTGGGACTTTCATCCTTGGCAAAACCATTCCTGTGATTACTGGTACTATCAGTCGATGTTGATCCAGATTCCTTATCACTTCCAGGAGCATTAACAAATCCAGTTATCTCCCTTTGGAGGTCTTTTGTCTCTGGTACTTGTCGACGCGTTTGTTTGCTCGCTGAGAAGGTTGCAGAGTGCGGTTTACTGGACTGCACTGTGGCTCTCTTGTTTCCGGATCGAACTGTTTTAGCAGAGGAAGACACTGAACTCAGAACACTTTCCACTTCTTTTACATAGTCCTGAACTTTTCCATAAAGCTTGACACGTTCTCCATGCCCTTTTTTAAGCTTGCGCAGTCTGCTTAAGGCAAACATTCTCCGCCTTGTAAGTGAATCGACCCATTTCTCAAACTTCACTTTGTCGTTTTCAATTTCTCCCCTTCTCCGTTCAATCATGTACTCAAACGCCTTCCTTTCCTCATCGGTAATGAACAGCTCCGGATCGTACATACCTAGATCGTCATCAGTGATCGGTTTAAGATCAGCAATATCGTTTGATTTGGCAGAAATAGACATTTTTTCTATCTTTTGCACATTTCCGACGAGTGTCGGTTTGACTTCCTCGCTATTTCCTTGAGAGTTTGTTCCGTCCTTGTCATTGTGATTTTCTTTTGATTGTGATTCCGGTTCCGGTTCCGGTTCCGGTTCCGGTTTCTCCACCACGAGTGACGATTGCTTTGTATTACTTTTGTTATCCTCAGTCTCACTGCTTTCGTTGTTGACATTCTCATTGAGAGGTTCTGCTGTATTATCAGTTTTGCTGGATACAGAGTTTGATGGTTCAGTTTTTTCTGTTGTCTCATTTGCTATTGTTTTGCCATTTGTGGTATCGTCTTTTATATCATTTGAGTTCCCCTTTTTGATGTCATCGTTTCTAGGACTTGTAATCCATGGTTCTGTGACAGATTTATTCCTAGTCAACTGTTCATCAAGGGCTGTATCGCTAGCAACCGCCATTCCACCAAGTCAAATCTACCCGCTCGAATGCCGTTATCCTTACTTCACTAACAACGCCATTCTGGAAAGACATAAACTGCATTAATTTCCTCGTATTACAGAACAAACATTTCTCTTCCTGGGTTTTCAATAGTTCACAACGTCATCCCCCACAGAGAACTTAATGGTTTTCCTACGACATGCATTGTTCCGTATGAACGGAAAGTATCTTATTGTGACGATGTAATCTCGTGTAATCTCGTTTACCAGGCATTACAGTAGTTAAGATCCCTGCGGGAATTTCGAAGTCATTAGCAGGTAGGAGTTACTGTTCTTGTTAGCTTAATACCAGACAAACGAAATAAGAAATTCGCACAAGGAGTTACTTTTAAATCTAGAATATATAATTCCTTATCTCTAGGTGTCAAACAGAAATATGTGTTAACATGGTATGTTTTTACAGAGTTCTACGATTTTGCTTTTACATTTTAATAATCATAAAAACACCAAATTATACCAGGTTTTTCATTGCATTAAGCTTATCAACGCACAGTATTACTAACGCGACATTTCATATTAAGAGAATCACGCTAACACCTAATCAAAACCAGATTCCAAAAACATTCATTAACTGGGACGCTTATGTAAACAAAATGGGTTGGACTGACGGATATCGAGAATGTATTAATTCCCTAACGGAATTGTTCATCGAGAAAATTATTCATTAATTTCCACCACGTCGTATGTGTTGAACCATGAAGCCCATGTTTATAATCTTCATTTGTTCGTTGTTTACTATATGAGAGTACATCTACATTTCACGCAGTTTCAGATACTAGAGAAACCCTATAATACCTGACTAACACGTGATATGTTTCATTTGTTTGGAGTAGCACATTAAAACGGACTTCAATTTTTACTTTTTATCACAATACAACAAGCAAACAAGAACATGCTTTGTTTACCTAGTGTTATTTTGATACGGATATCAGTACACATATATAACATTGGGGAGTAAGCTGGAATGACACATTCCGACTCACTTTATCTGGCCAGCTTAAAACAATGAATACATAAAGGGTAGGTCACCATGTTAACACGAGAAATTTCACTCACGTGGTACGGTATCAAATGAGAAATTTATTTCGAAACTATTTCTCCAGAACTCAAACATCGGTTTCCACTCTGGAGAGTACATTGACCACGCCACAATCATCGTTTATTCATGGGTGTATTTGTGTAAATAGTTGCCTAGCGAAAATGTGTCTCTACTGTTTTATAAACTTTGTGTTTTTTCGTTAAGGGTATCCATTACGTTAAAGGTATCCATTACGTTAACCCATACATTAATCGTATTGACGATAACATCCAAGAAGTACATGACACAGCCAGAGCTTATCAGTGAAATTTACATACTAACGTGCATATATAAATATCAGCCATGGAATTAAAATGTTGTACATAAACACATAATATATTGTATATTCTTACGTTGTTAACTTAACAAACAAAATAGTGATACCTTGTTTATATACAATAATAACTACAGCAGGTATGTAAATCAAAATCCCCCTCAATATTAACAGGTTTTGATAATGAAATCTCCCTACACAATGTGTTGCATATATAATGATAAAAGTAATATGTTTTTGATAAAAAGTAATAACATGAAGCCTTTGGGAGCAGACTGGTAAATGTTTGATTACAAATGTAAAGCTATTACGTTAGATGATTTAACGCAGTTTAAAATGTGACATTTAGATATTTAAAATAGAATTGCTTGATGATAGATAAACATTGTAGAGTTGAATTCGAAGATTAATATTATCTCTACTATTCACAAAAGTTAATCTGCTTCAAATATATATAAATGATATGTAAGATATTTTCTTTATCACTTCTGTATACAGTAAGAAGCATCTTCAATTACCCTGTATACGGTAGATAATTCTAAAATAAACCTGTATAAAGTAAACAGTTTCGTCAATTACCCTGTATACGGTAGATAATTCTAAAATAAAACTGTAAAAATTAAACAGTTTCGTCAATTACACAAATTTAACAAGTATACAGTAAATAGTTTCTAAAATTATCCCGTATACAGAAGATATTTTCGAAATTAACTATGTGTCACAGATACAATTTGCATTATTTTAGATAATCCTATAAACAGAAGCTAGTATCTAAAATAGCATTGTTATACACCAGATAGTATCTAAAATGACCCTGTTCACGTAAAATGAAGTACCTAAAATAGCCCTGTATACAGTAGATAGTGTCTAAAATGACCCTGTTTCAGTTGATAGTTTCTAAACTAACCCTGTATACACTGAATAATATCTTTATAATCCGGGTATACAGTAGATAGTATCTAAACATGACTGTGTTCAGCTGATAGTATCTACAATAGCATTGCTATACAGTAGATAGTATCTAAACATGACTGTGTTCAGCTGATAGTATCTACAATAGCATTGCTATACAATAGATAGCATCTAAACATGACTGTGTTCAGCTGATAGTATCTACAATAGCATTGCTATACAGTAGATAGCATCTAAAATTACCCTGTGTACAATGGAGATATTTATCATATCCTTGCCCCTGATATGGGATGTTTTGTATGTGTGATAGGCTGTTTGTTTTGTAATGGCTATATCCCAGAACAACATATATCTGACAAACATGTGCTACATCCGTTTAGACTCGGTTCAATAGTTTTCGAAAAAATCCCGTCTTATTCATCGGACAGTGTGTTATAGTGATACTGATAGTGTAGACCCTACCTATCCGTCTGTATTCGTTATGCTGTTCATTGCATTAGGTTTAAATGAATAACATGATTTTATGACAAATGAATTATTTTCCCGTGTGTTTTATACTGTATGTTATTGCACAATAATGTTGATGCAATAGAGCATTAGGATTAAATTTCCATATCATTCACCTATCAGCCCTCAACCGATATCAGCCATCGGGCCTCCGGGCCTCCGGGCCTCCGGGCCATCGGGCTGATCTGTAGGTTTCGGGTTGATACGGAGTAATATATGGAAATTGTCACATGCTGATCTCTAAATAGCGTAGACATGATGCGTAATTACTCTGTATACATTAAGACAGTTTATAAATGTGTATACAGTATACTGTATCGTCTACGGTCCTGTTTACAGTAGACACTGTATAAAACTCTCAATAGCACACAGCACACGTGAGAATGTTACGCTGTAACTAACACACCAGCATCTTTTTCAGTCGTCTTTAGACATTACCTTGGCAACCCGAGATCACTGGGCTACAAATGATGATGGTAGACGCGATAATATTTTCTCAGTTTTTGAAATTAAAAATATACTTATAGGGTCAAAGTGTGACATGCCAGAACCTTCTAAAGGAGTAGAAAGAGTAAAACAGAGTAAATGTAAAGTATTGGTATTGAAAGAGATGATCAGATGATGGCTCTGTTTTATCATGGTTTCCTGTTAAATAACCAACCAACCCCCTCCCCTGTATGTAACAATAATAATACTACAATCCGAATCTCCGACTACATTACCACAGTGTTGTAACCTACCTTCTTATTACCTGCGAGAACACATAGCTACTGTTATACTCTGTCAATAAATGTTCACGGTAGACATATAAAATCCCTTCAGTCACAATAAATAAAGGACAAAGCACACACCAAATACACCCTCCTTTACCCAACTTTAAGTCACAAGTAGCATTGTCATCTTCACGCTTAAAAAAATGGTCAGTCATAACCCCATGAAAAATCAAATTTACCAAAGATAATGAACACTTGAAAGGCAATATCAATGAAACAATAGATCTGGACCATCAATACAATATTTTGTTTGAAAAATATCTTGAAAATATATTTGTGTAAATAATTTATATGATGCGGTAAGCTTAGGAACAAACATAGAGCCAGTGAGCAGAAACCTAATTTACCGCACGTTACCTTGTAGCAAACCATGGGCGGTCACGTCTGTTATGACATTGTCCAGTGCCGTATTGCCTGCTCTATACTCAGTTACCTATTATGAACGGTAAGTGAGTAATGCAGATACTATGAGTACCCTAGCATACAACCATGCATAGGGCAAACTAATATTGTTTGTTCTCAAATTCAGACATGATCAGAAAAATTCCCGCTTTAGATGTTAATATTGTCGTCAGCTTAAATTCTTTTCAAATCCAGCATGTCAATATTATATATATAAATGCCGTCTCAAAATGTGTACATATGTAAATTCTACGCTATGTCCTGGGTGTAATGTAACCAAATCTATGTCCGAAACTTACCTTTAACATGATCACACGTTTCTTCTTTGAACAAATTTCATTTAATATATATTTAACATTCAATAAATTCGTGTTATAGACATGTTCACAGGTGCTCAGTATATATATACACCCACTCAGAGGTTCGCATGGGAACTCGATAAAGCCAAACTCACTGCACTTAATAAACTACTAAAATACATGAATTATTCAGAATTTAAAAGTTTACCTTCACAGAGCATCAAAGTCTACAGGAGGTCTTCGTGATTAGTTGTATATAGCTATAACACATCAATCCTAAACATGATCGCGTATCCTTTGCAGACTCGTTAACTACGCCTATTCGTTAACAACCTAGGCCAACACAAAGTAGGTTTCGGTACAAACCGGTCTTTATGCTGATGAGAAGGTATATACCATAATATTGTGATTAGAACTGACTATATGAGAATGACAACCAATATATTTCTTCACGGTCTGTGATACATAAAAGTAGGATAACGTAATGTGATTTTATTTAAGATATAAATATCCTGAATTATTCCGACTTTAAATATATTTCTGTTGTATACTTTACCAGCAGAATAAAAAAGACCTGATAGTAAAATATTTCTGTAAAGTATAAAATGATAGTTTATGTGTATCACAACTCATTAAAATGTTATCGATTTCTCCTTACCTCGCACTTTTCGTCGTTAATAAACGATCTTTCAAAATTTGAAAGCAACTACACAGAGAAATAATAATTAAAGAATATGTACAATTGAGATGTCATAGCTTTAATCAGAAGTCAGCGCTGATTACGTAGTGATACATTGTGTCTCGGAAGACCAGAACAGCTGAGAGCGTTGAATTGAAATCAAGAACAAAAATATTTACTGCATACATAGTTTGCCTTTCTGTTTTAATGGCAGATATGTTACCATTACGGAAACAAGGGACAAATCTCGTCAATGCTAAGCTTTATTTCGACGATGAAACATTCGAAGGTTGTATTTCAAATAATAATAATAAATAATAATATACAACATTTATATAGCGCCCTATATAATTTGTAAAATTACTCTAAGGCGCTTTACAACATATGGATAATAGTAATGGTTATAATTGTGAAAACAAACAACAAAGGCTTGCAATCGCTTTCATACATTTAACAAGCAACGTGCACATAATTGAACAAATAAAAGGGTGGTATTTACATGACGTCTTTGCAAAGATTCTAAAATGCAGACGTGAAGAGGTGAGTTTTTATGTCCTCTTGAACTTGGCCCAGGGTATTCGACTTCCTAATAGCAGATGGTAAGCTATTCCACAACGTAGCCGAAACCCTCCCAAAGCATCTGTTTCCGTAGGTCACAGTACGAGATTTTGGGACACACAACAAAGATTCTGACTCCGACCGCAGTGATCTTGACGGCTGATACAGGGTAACAAGTTCCTGTAGGTACTGAGGAGCTGTTCCATTCAGTGCCTTGTATGTGTATACCAGAATTTTGTACTGCGACCTGTATCGTACAGGTAACCAGTGCAACGAATAAAGCGCAGGTGTGATGTGCTCTCTCTTTCGAGTACGAGTAACTAGCCGTGCTGCAGTGTTCTGAACCCTCTGCAGACGACTAGTTAGTTTGTCAGATATACCACAGAGCAGGGCGTTACCATAATCCAACCGAGAGGTAACAAGTGAATGCACCAAAATCTTGCATGCATCTGCAGTTAGAAACTGCCGAATACAGCCGATGTTCCTGATCTGGTAGTAACAGGATTTGGCAATAGCGTTCACTTGTTTTTCCATGTTCAGAGAACTGTCAAAGTATACCCCTAGGTTTTTAACTGCTGGAACAGTCTCAATAGTTCTGGCATCAACCTTGAGCTGGAGAGCCATTGTTTGCTGACACTTTGGGGAAAAGACGATTAGTTCCGTCTTTTCCTGATTAAGTTTAAGCATGTTGGCGTACATAATAGTCACAATAATTACATTGTTGTCCAAGGTACTGGCAATATCCTTGGATATTACGCCTCTATAGTCAGTCTATAGTCTACACTTACTCACCACGCAGAATCAGTAAGGTCACTTACATGACGCAGCGAAGATCTATCAATAATCCCAGAGCAAATTAATCAAATGGTTAGTAAAACAAATGCCATTTAAGGTCGGTTTATTTTTTATGAACAGATTTAATTTCTATGTGACAATGAATATTTGGCTGTCTGTGTAGTTGTTTAAGGTGTTTCCTATACGTGATATCATTACACGCATGTTTTTATTTGTCTGTTTTAAAAGAAATCAATAAATATATATAACATTGTTCTATCATAACTCATCACACTTGAATATATATCAGATATAAAATGACAGATTGTATCTAACAACCAAGCAAAAGCTTTGTCCTGTATAAAGAATACGTGGTCGGGTGGTGCAGTGGAAAGCGCACTTGCCTTTCACCAAGGCGGCCGGGGTTCGATTCCCCGATCGGACGTGAAAAGGTTGGAGTCACCTGCCCGACCACGTGGATTTTCTCCGGGTACTCCAATTTCCTCCCATAATAAGGCCCCCTAGCGCTAACAACCGGGCCAACAAGAGTTGAAATAACTTGTTTCATAATTGTTGTAAAATATATAAAGTTGATATAAGGAATACAGTTAATGACTATTGTACGTTTTTTATGAATGAATTTAACTGATTCCGTTTGAAATAGTGTCACTGGTGTTAAGATATTTGTCCGGCAAACATTTCTTTATACACATAAAACGGTTATATAGATTATTGGTTTTTGGTTGTCAATGAATTTATTTATCAATAGCGTAATTTCCAGTTTTAAATCATGCCATCTGTTCTGGTCAAGCATACATTGAGCTAATGGTACCAACAATTGAACCCTTATCTCTTATATCGCAATGCTGAACAGAAACACCAACACCTGGCAATATAATAACTTAGGGTGATTCCAGTGGAGCAGGAACATCCGTCACTCTATTCTAGAGTAATTGCTCAACAGAAGATAGCAACACCCAAACAGTACACTACTACAGATTACATCGTGCAAAAGGTAAAAAAAACACACTTGAACAGTATGCTCTTACAGAAATAGTTTGGTTTAACATTGAACACATGGTATTGACGCTTGAACAACACGCTCTTGCAGAAATAGTTTGGTTTAACATTGAAGACATGGTATTGACGCTTGAACAACACGCTCATACAGAAATAGTTTGGTTTAACATTGAACACATGGTATTGACGCTTGAACAACATGCTATTACAAAAATGGTTTAACATTGAACACATGGTATTGACACTTGAACAACATGCTATTACAAAAATGGTTTAACATTGAACACATGGGATTGACACTTGAACAACACGCTATTACAGAAATGGTTTAACGTTGAACACATGGTATTGACGCTTGAACAACACGCTCTTACAGAAATAGTTTGGTTTAACATTGAACACATGGAATTGACGCTTGAACAACATGCTATTACAAAAATGGTTTAACATTGAACACATGGTATTGACCCTTGAACAACATGCTATTACAAAAATGGTTTAACGTTGAACACATGGTATTGACACTTGAACAACACGCTCTTACAGAAATGGATTAACGTTGAACACATGGTATTGACACTTGAACAACACGCTATTACAGAAATGGTTTAACGTTGAACACATGGTATTGACGCTTGAACAACACGCTATTACAAAAATGGTTTAACGTTGAACACATGGTATTGGCACTTGAACAAAATGCTCTTACAGAAATGGTTTAACGTTGAACACATGGTATTGAAACTTGAACAACGCGCTCTTACAGAAATGGTTAAACGTTGAACACATGGTTTTGACGCTTGAACAACACGCTATTACAAAAATGGTTTAACGTTGAACACATGATATTGACACTTGAACAACACGCTCTTACAGAAATGGTTAAACGTTGAACACATGGTATTGACGCTTGAACAACACGCTATTACATAAATGGTTTAACGTTGAACACATGGTATTGACACTTGAACAACACGCTATTACAAAAATGGTTTAACGTTTAACACATGGTATTGACACTTGAACAACACGCTATTACAAAAATGGTTTAACGTTGAACACATGGTTTTGACACTTGAACAACACGCTCTTATATAAATGGTTTAACGTTGAACACATGGTATTGACGCTTAAACAACATGCTATTACAAAAATGGTTTAACGTTTAACAGATGACAGGATACTTAAACAATATGCTCACTATCAGTAATATTACTTGAGTTAGATATAATCAATAGAAAACAGTACTCTTACCTGAGTTTTCCATCCAGGCCTTTACGCATCGTCAGGTCTTTGTGTGATCTTTACTTGAAGCTCGCTATGTCCTGCTGCGGTTGGATAGGGTTGTAGCCACTAGTATATATATAACAATGCTTACCATTGTATCATATTGGACGGGTATTTAAACCTTATAGAAGTAACCTGACAAAGTCTACCTTTTACCTATTGAATTTTTATGGAAAATTCAGGAGGTTAAGTGATCTTTATATCAAATATAATCTTCAGCCAATATGAGTAGCTTTATGTAGTGGAATTAGATTTTAGTAGAAACTTTATTATGTAGGGCAAGGTATATGGAATCTCGCTATAGAAATGTGGGTCGCTACCTTAATGAGCTTTACCCGATTTTCATTCAACGCCCTTAACCTTTATAAAATCATAATACTCTTGGTAATTTGTATAAACCCGTACACATGCATTACGTTTTACATTACGTTAGTATATTTAAACTTTTCTAAATACGTTGTGGACACGTAGAAAAGTTATTCATATCAAATGTGAAAACAGCATTAATATATATATTAAACAACGAACATGAGATTGGCAATTTGTAGAACAAACAATTACTTTGTACTGGTCAACCGTTCTTACAATCCACACATAATACATTTTGATTTGTTAAAATACACCGCGTATTGACACTGTTAAAGCCAAGATTGACATTAGCTACAGTATAGGAACTTATATCATTACTCCTATTACATATAATGCTAAACTAATAGTTATAACCGATAGGGTAACATCTTTGTTTGTTATAATGAAGTAATAGTTATAACCGATAGGGTAACACCTTTGTTTGTTATAATGAAGCAATAGTTATAACCGGTAGGGTAACACCTTTGTTTGTTATAATGAAGTAATAGTTATAACCGATAGGGTAACACCTTTGTTTGTTCTAATGAAGTAGTTGATGTTGTTCTTGTTGTTGTTTGTAATGATACAGGTTTTATGTTATAGTTCGGTAATAGACAAACATTGACAGTGTAACTCTGGTTTTATGTTATAGTTCGGTAATAGACAAACATTGAGAGTGTAACTCTGGTTTTTTGTTATAGTTCGGTAATAGACAAACATTGACAGTGTAACTCTGGTTTTATGTTATAGTTCGGTAATAGACAAACATTGACAGTGTAACTCTGGTTTTATGTTATAGTTCGGTAATAGACAAACATTGACAGTGTAACTCTGGTTTTATGTTATAGTTCGGTAATAGACAAACATTGACAGTGTAACTCTGGTTTTATGTTATAGTTCGGTAATAGACAAACATTGACAGTGTAACTCTGGTTTTATGTTATAGTTCGGTAATAGACAAACATTGACAGTGTAACTCTGGTTTTATGTTATAGTTCGGTAATAGACAAACATTGACAGTGTAACTCTGGTTTTATGTTATAGTTCGGTAATAGACAAACATTGACAGTGTAACTCTGGTTTTATGTTATAGTTCGGTAATAGACAAACATTGACAGTGTAACTCTGGTTTTATGTTATAGTTCGGTAATAGACAAACATTGACAGTGTAACTCTGGTTTTATGTTATAGTTCGGTAATAGACAAACATTGACAGTGTAACTCTGGTTTTATGTTATAGTTCGGTAATAGACAAACATTGACAGTGTAACTCTGGTTTTATGTTATAGTTCGGTAATAGACAAACATTGACAGTGTAACTCTGGTTTTATGTTATAGTTCGGTAATAGACAAACATTGACAGTGTAACTCTGGTTTTATGTTATAGTTCGGTAATAGACAAACATTGACAGTGTAACTCTGGTTTTATGTTATAGTTCGGTAATAGACAAACATTGACAGTGTAACTCTGGTTTTATGTTATAGTTCGGTAATAGACAAACATTGACAGTGTAACTCTGGTTTTATGTTATAGTTCAGTAATAGACAAACATTGACAGTGTAACAGTGGTTTTATGTTATAGTTCGGTAATAGACAAACATTGACGGTGTAACTCTGGTTGTATGTTATAGTTCAGTAATAGACAAACATTGACAGTGTAACTCTGGTTTTATGTTATAGTTCGGTAATAGACAAACATTGACAGAGATTCCCACGTCATACCCCATGATTTTTCTATCTCGTCAAATCTGTCTTGCACCTTAACATTTCGCGGAATTTTACACTGCGATGTATTCATCCGCGCGTTAACTGCTTGAAATTGACAATCTGCATTATTGATGTTCTGTTTTGTTGTTATATGTAGAGTTTTGATGTTGTTAGATATCTGATGTTGTAGATAAAATATAATCTACAATGTGAAATACGTTGTCATCTATGCAAGAACGGACAGCATTTTTTAGGCGGAAGCATTCAAATGAAGCTTAAGTAGTGAAGAGGTCATTATCATTTGAGGCCCCAGACAGGATACTTGAATTTTTTAGCAAAAAAAAAAAAACGAACGAAAAGATGCGAGAAAAAAAATCAATTAGCTCAGGCTCGGGCTAAGATTCTGTAACATTCCAACCTCGGCTTACGCCTCGGGATTTTGTTTTGTTACAGAATCTTGACCCTCGACTGAGATAACCCGATCTCGCTCAGTTACAGGTAATAGATTTTATTAATCTCCCCGAGGGTATACCACAATTGAACCCCTGAAGGGAAAATAATAGGCCTGCTGTATCCAACTGAATTGGTAAGAGGCAACTATGGGGGGCCCTGTAGAATCGGGGTTAGTTTCTCCCTTGTTTTCTGTTAAGAGGACAACGTAAAACAAACAAAAGGATCCCTGCAGAATTAGGGATTTGCTTCCGTGTGTTGATGTCTTCCTAGGCACCCCGTTCTCATATGACCCTTGTTGTTGTGTCTCCCTAGGCACCCCGTCCTCATATGACCCTGGCTGTTGTGTCTCCCTAGGTACCCCGTCCTCATATGATCCTGGCTGTTGTGTCTCCCTAGGCACCCCGTCCTCATATGATCCTGGCTGTTGTGTCTCCCTAGGTACCCCGTCCTCATATGATCCTGGCTGTTGTGTCTCCCTAGGCACCCCGTCATCATATGACCCTGGCTGTTGTGTCTCCCTAGGCACCCCGTCGTCATATGACCATGGCTGTTGTGTCTCCCTAGGCACCCTGTCGTCATATGACCCTGGCTGTTGTGTCTTCCTAGGCACCCCGTCGTCATATGGCCCTGGCTGTTGTGTCTCCCTTGGCACCCCGTCATCATATGACCCTGGCTGTTGTGTCTCCCTAGGCACCACGCCCTCATATGACCCTGGCTGTTGTGTATCCCTAGGCACCACGTCGTCATATGACCCTGGCTGTTGTGTCTCCCTAGGCACCACGCCCTCATATGACCCTGGCTGTTGTGTATCCCTAGGCACCCCGTCGTCATATGACCCTGGCTGTTGTGTATCCCTAGGCACCCCGTCGTCATATGACCCTGGCTGTTGTGTATCCCTAGGCACCACGTCGTCATATGACCCTGGCTGGTGTGTCTCCCTAGGCACCCCGTCGTCATATGACCATGGCTGTTTGTCTCCCTAGGAACCCCGTCGTCATATGACCCTGGCTGTTGTGTCTCCCTAGGCACTCCGTAATCATATGACCTTGGCTGTTGTGNTGGCTGTTGTGTCTCCCTAGGCACCACGTCCTCATATGACCCTGGCTGTTGTGTCTCCCTAGGCACCCCGTCGTCATATGACCCTGGCTGTTGTGTCTCCCTAGGCACCACGTCCTCATATGACCCTGGCTGTTGTGTATTCCTAGGCACCACGTCGTCATATGACCCTGGCTGTTGTGTCTCCCTAGGCACCCCGTCATCATATGACCTTGGCTGTTGTGTCTCCCTAGACACCCCGTCGTCATATGACTATGGCTGTTGTGTCTCCCTAGGCACCACGTCCTCATATGACCCTGGCTGTTGTGTCTCCCTAGGCACCACGTCCTCATATGGCCCTGGCTGTTGTGTCTCCCTAGGCACCCCGTCGTCATATGACCCTGGCTGTTGTGTTTCCCTAGGCTTGCCTGTTATATAGACTAACGATGTGTTCTGTTAACTCAATGAAATAAATCTGAGATCTCAAAGTTTAATTTACATTTAAAGAATGAGAGTTTTTAAGACTTGTTCATTTTATTGTGTTTGATATAATGAACAGAAAGAAAAAAATCTGAAAAATAATTTGAAAACTTAGATATTCCAATATGCTTCACACTTGTTTTATATTTACCGCCTTCAAGTGCACAATGCAAGCAAATAAACAATACTAATAGTTGTATTTTAAAAACAAAATTCACGTATCTGAATTAGTGCAAGGTTTTATAATACATACAATGTGTGCAGTTTTTACGCAACGCACTACAATGTCTCTTATTCCACGTGTAGAGTACAAGTCAACATTGCGTTACCTTTGTAGTCGGAACTCCTCGGTTTTCATCGCTTATTAAACATTGATGAAATGAACAAATTGGAAAAGGAATGAGTTTTGGTTATTCTAGCGCCATTATACGACATGGCGTAACTATTCTGCCTTGGTGTCATGTTGTCGTTGTTTATGGTGTTGGGTTCAGTGTTCTGAGAGAGTAAACTAACAAGGGAGTAGGAAGAATTAGGATTTGCAGAAAATTCCATTTCATATATAGTAAAATTACAGTTAATGTTATAAATGTTTTCATTTGTCATTAAAGCAATAATGCACGTGTTTATTTTCGTCTGACGTCATTTTTAGCACTCTTTTATTGCGTGGACGTAAATACATCGATCTACTTATGAATGTATTCGAGCGCACCAAGCTAGTGCGGCGTCAGTCGTCAGATAAAGGCATCTGTATGATATCGCCTTTGTATTCTATATGTAAGCGTGGATGTCATCGAGTGTAAACAAAGTTTAAACATTTTGGTTTTACTTCCTCGAACAACTGTTTTTATCTTCTGATTTCTGTAAGAAATATAATGTCTTCCATTTTGTCTTTTTGTTTCCCAGTTCCCGATGGGTTTTTTTTATCGTCTTTGATTGTTTTAAAAAAAGTGAAAACATAATTTTAACTTGAAGTCGGGTGCTCTATGTACTTCCAATATTGAGACCGAAAAATTAGCGCGATATGCGTGCCACCATAAACAGCTTTAGGATACCAGTTACT